GGCGCGCCCGCCGCTCCCGGTGCGCCGCGCCCAGCAGGCGCACTCCTCGGCGGCGCCGGAGGGGCCGTCCTGGCGCAGCTCCTCGCCGGCGCCCCGGGCGACGGGGGCGCGGGGCCGGCGGGCCGAGGCGGAGGGGGGCGGCGCCCCGCCGAAGGCCAGGCCGGCGGCGCGGCCGGGTGGCCGCCCGCCTGCAGCGTGGCCGGGGCGGGCTGGCCAGCCGCAGCCGGAGGCAAGAGCGCCCCCGCAGCGAGCGCCACCGGGGGCTCCGACGCCGACGACGGAGCGGGCGGGAGCTCGGGCCCCGACGACTCCCAAGAGGGCGCAGCTGACAGCAGCAGCGGCGACTCCTCGGGAGAGGGAGGCTGGCGGCAGCCCCACCGCCGGGCGCTGGCGCGAGCGCGTGCGCAGCCCCAGCGCGCTCGCACCGGCGAGGCCGGAGCGCTCGGCGCCTTCGGCACGGGAGGCTACTGGGCACCGCTCGGGCTTGCGTCGGCACCGCAAGCGCCGGGGCAGGAGCGGCTCCGGCCACCGCCGCGCCGTGAGCCGCACGCGCAGCCGGAGCCGCAGGCGGCGCCGCCGGCCGCGCAGCCCGGCCGCGCCGCGACGCCCGCGCAGCGGCCGCCGCAGGCGAGGCTCCAGGGCGCCCGAAGCGGCGAGCGCGCCGGCGAGCGGCGACGGCCCGCTGGCGCCCGCGGCGGCGAGCGCGGCGAGCGCGTTGCGGCGAGCCCGCCAGCGCCGGAGGTAGCGCCCGAGGAGGCGGGACCGGCGGGGCCGGCAGCGGCGACCCTGGGGGGGGTCGGCGCCACCCCCCCCACGGGGAGCCAGCGCGCGAGCCGCGGCGGCCGGGGCAGGGGCCGGGACCACCGCCCTCGCAGCGCCGGCTCGAGCGACAGCGCCAGCTCGAGCAGCTCGAGCTCGGGCAGCAGCGGGAGCGGCAGCACGGCGCGACGAGCGGCTCCGAGAGCGCCGGCTCCGCCAGAAGCAGGCGGCGACGGAGGGGGCGCCGAGGCGGCCGCCCCCGCACCCACTCGGCCTGGTGGAGCGACCCCGGGCCCGGGTCCCCTGCCTGCGGCAGCGGCGGCCGCCGTGGCGGAGATCCTCAGGGCGCACGGCTGGAATTTCCAGACCCCGGAGGTCGCGGCGGGCGTCCTCGGGGAGGCAAAGAAGGCGGGCCTCCTCCTGCCCCAGGGGGGGGCCTAGGCGCCCGCGCCGGCCCTGCGGGAGGGGCGCTGGGCACCGGCCCCGCGGGCGGCGGGGCGTCGGAGACCGGCCCCGCAGGCGGGGCGACGGAAAACGGCAGCACCGGCCTCGCCAGAGGAGCTACGGGCGCCGGCCCCCTGGGAGGCGGGGCGACAGGCACCGGCCCCTCGGGCGGCGGGGCGACGGAGACCGGCCCCGCAGGAGGGGCGACGGTAAGCGGCAGCACCGGCCTCGCCAGAGGAGCGACAGGCGCCGGCCCCCTAGGAAGGGGGGCGACGGGGACCGGCTCCGGCGGGGCGACGGAGCGCGGGGACGTCTTGCTCGTGCCGCTCGATGCCCTCGAACACGACATCGAGGCGGAGTACGAGGGCGACTGGGCGCCCGCGCACCCCACCGCAGGCGGCGCTGCCCTGGCGGCTGGCAGCGCGGCGCCCCCGCCTGCGTCCACTCCGCGGGGCGCCACGGCCGGCGGCCTAGCGGTGGAGACGCCGCCGCGGGCGCGGCCGCGCATCCCCCGGCGCGCGCCGTGGGCGGACGCGGCCGAGGAGGGCCCCGGCCAGGAGGCGGGCTGGCTACCGGCCCCCGGCGGGCCAAAGCAGCCGGCCCCGGCGCCGGGGGCCGCGGCGCTCAGCCAGCTGGCGGCCGCACTGCGGGCCGTCACAGGCGAGGGCGCCAGCGCGGCGCTCGAGGCGGCGCTGCTGCTGGAGGCGGCGGCGGCGGGCGACCCCACCGCCCACGGGCCCATCCTCGAGGTGGGCCGGGCCCTGCTGGGGGCCCTCGCGGTGCCGGCCGGCGCGGGCGCGCCGCCGCCCGGGGCCGGGCGCTGAGCGCTGCGCTCGCGCTGCAGGCGACTCGCTCCGGCTGAGGCGCCGCCGCGCTGCCGGCTGAGGGCTGCGCGGGCCCCAGCGGGCGGCTGCCCGCGCGCGCGCGCCGGCCCCCTCCCCCCCCTCCCCCCCCCCCCTCCCGCCCCCCCGCGCCCTCCGTCGTCCTCGTCTGTCGTCCGTCGCTCGTCTGTCGGTCGTGTCGTCCTCCGCTCTTTGCCACTGGGCTCCTCTCGCGTTGGTAAAAAAAAAGTGTTCGCTCTTCGTGCTCCGCCTGCTCACCCCGTCCTCGCCCAGATCCTTCAACCCCTCCCCCTCCTCCTCCTCCTCTTTCTCCATGCACATCCTCGTCCTCCCCTGGTCATCCTCCCTCCTGGTCATCCTGGTGGAGTGGGGGAGGGGGGCCCTCCCTGGCCTTCCTCCTCAATCCCTCCCTGGCCTTCCTCCGTCCACATCCTCACCCTTCCCTGGTCGTCCATGCGCTTCACCCTCCGCATCTCTGGTCCTCCTCCCTCCTCCGACTCCTCTCCGATCCCTTCCTCCCTTCCTTCTCCTCCGCCGCCGGCCCCCCGCTCGACCACTTGGCCCCTCCAACCCCTCCTCCCCCTCCTGATGCTGCAGTCAAGCCGTATCATAAGGATGCGCGACAAGGGTGCAAGGGACTTGGACGCCCATTCCGACGCTTTTCGAGCAGGGCGCGGCGAACGAGAGTGGCGAAGGCAGGACCGAGGAGGTAATGATGCAAGGGTACCCTTGGGAAGGTTGCCCATCCTTACTGTGCGGGTTGACTGCGCTCCTCCCCTCTTCTGCTCCGCCACCTCCCTCATCATCCCGCCTCCCCCACCAGGAACGTCGTTCTCTCCCGATCAGTGCGCCGCCCCCAGCTGGCAGAACATGTGCTCCGTGCTTCCGTTGATAGGCCTGTTTCCCACCACCACCATAAGTTGGAGGGGGAGGAGGAGGAGGAGGAGGAGGAGGAGGAGGAGGAGGAGGAGGAGGAGGAGGACGACGACGACGACGAAGAGGAGGAGGTGGAGGAGGAGGAGGTGGTGGAGGAGGAGAACCCCCTCCCCCTCCAACTTATGGTGGTGGTGGTGGGAAACAAGCCCATCATCCGTGAAGGGCCGAACAGGACCCCGAGGCGCTCCCCCTCCCCATTCCCAATTCTTCGCCTTCCCCAACCTGGAGCGTCGTTCCCTTCTGAGATCTGCGCCCCCCCCGGGTGGCATCACACGCCTCGTGCCTCCGTGGAGTGTCGAGCCGAGCCGAGGCGTCCTCCCCCCCCCATTCCCCATATGCCGCCCTCGCCTCCGCATCCACCTCTCAGGTCGGGCGACAGGGGGGGATAGCAAAGGGGGGGCTGGAGAATCAGCTCACGTAGCCGATTGCCCCGGCGCCCAAGGCGCCCACGCATCGAGGCATGGGCCTCTCGGTGAGGCCGAGACCAGCTGCGTACAGCAGATTTCGTAACGCCCCCTTTCCCCATCCCCCCCTCTCGCCCGGCCCGAGCCCTCGCCATCGCTTGGACGTCCATTCCCTGTGCTTTTTTCAGTTTCGTGCGTAGTTTTTTTTCGCCAAATGATCAAGGATGCTCCTCGATGGTCCTCGCCGAGAAAAACATGCACACGTCCGAGCGATGCCAAGAGCCTCCGCATCCACCTCGGTGGCCTCGGAGACCGGAGGCGCGCCCTGGGCCTTCTCCGTTCGCGAAAGCCGCGCAACCACGACGGGCCGAGGGGGGGGGCCCACACGGGCAAAGAGGGCAGAGTCGGGGCGGCAAGCAGGCGCGGTGGAGGGACGAGAGGGAGGAGGGAGACAGGAGAGGAGGAGGGGAGGAGGGAGGGAGGGGGGAGGACAAGCTAGGTGCGCTCGCGTCATATCTGACGTCCTACCCCTCCCTCCCATCCCTTACCATGGCGCTGATTTTCTCTATCCGCGGACGCGTGTCGTAGCGGACTTGTGGCTCCGCGCGCGCGTGCGTAGTGGGTGGTGGTGCGCGTGCGTGCGTGCGTGCGTGCGTGCGTGTGTCGTTGTGGTGGTGGTGGTGGTGGTGGTGGTGGTGGTGGTGGTGGTGTGGTGGTGGTGATGGTGGTGCTGGTGGTGGTGGTGGTGGTGGTGCTGGTGGTGGTTGTGGTGGTGGTGGTGGTGGTGGTGGTGGTGGTGCGGCGCGGTGGTGTCGGGCGGATGGGCGCGCGAGAAAGAGGCCCGCGCTGGGGCGAGAACGCCATCCTGAACGACGGAGGCCAAACACCGATCCGAAAATGAGGCCCACGCTGCAGCGGGAGCACGATTCGGAACGATTCGGGAGCAGAAATGAGGCCGGCGCCTCAGCGAGAGCAGCATTTTGAAAAAAAAAAAAAAAAAAAAAAAAAAAAACACAAGCGAAAACCCGTTTCCCAGGAATCCTGTGTAAAAAACAATACGCGGGGGGGTGTCGGATATCTTCGGGACGCCATCAGGGGAAGTGGGAGAGTATTTTCATATTGTGTAATTGTGGAGGGGAGGAGGGGGGAGAGGAGGAGGGGAGGAGGGGAGGAGGGGGGAGGAGGAGAAGGACGGGGCGACCACACTGCTCTATTCAATACAAGTACCCAACCATAGGAGGGTTGGGACAAAGGGTAGAGAGGATGGGGGAAATGACTGGCCCAGCCCGAGCTCCGACCATGGGGCAGGCCCTCTGAGAAGATTCGAACGTCCGCATCCACCTCCTCCTCCTCCACCCCTGTTTCATCCTCCCTTTTCTCCTCCTCGCTCCTCTCGCGCGCCTCGTGCCCCCTGCGCCTGCGACACCACCACCTCTTCCTCCGTCAAATTATCTGATTAATCCTCTTCCTTTACCACATTCCCTTCCAACGATCTTCAAACGATCCCCCTTCCTTCCTGAATGTCTCTATTTACTTGTTGGCCTTCTCTGTACTCCTCTCACTCACTCCACTCTTCTCCCGAGTCCTTCTGCTCGTCCTCACCTCTCTGGCGGACCTCAAAAGAGCCCTTACGATACTTCTTCGTCGGCGAGAGCTCCTTCAAGGCGTTCGGGCTGTTGAGGATGAGCTTCACCCTGCCCCGCCGCACGTCCTCGTCGCCGTCCGCAGTTGAAAAACGCACAGCCGTGGACACACCACTACACCTGAATTCCAGACCAAACGTGCACGCCAGACTTAGGCCGGGCGTGTCCTCCTACAGGCGGATCTTGGACGAAAAACTTAAACATAGGCAAACATGCTCGAAACATAGCCAAACAAACATAATCAAAACATCGCCCCCAGGCAGTTGTAGTACTGCTGTTGAATATGCCGCCTGTAGAGGGACAGGCCCGACTTCACAACGCCCCTGCAGCTCAACACCGCCAACGATAACTCGGTCAGTCGACGCAGCACTGCCCAAAAATGGGCCAGCGGAATGAGCGAAGCGACAGAATAATGCAAAAATCGCCCCCAGATAATCCCACCAGCCCTCTGGGCGTAGGTGGTTTAAGGAGTTTCCTCTTCCATCTTCCCTTCGGGGAGGGGTTTACCCCTCCCCCTAACCCCCTCCCCTGGACCTGGACGGGCCGGGTCGCGAGCGGTCAAAGTGTCCAAGATGGCTCCATGAGCGCCTCGGATAGTCCAAGATGACTTCCAAGATGGCTCAAGATAGCCTAAGATGCCGCAAGATGGCTCCGAAGATGTTCCAAGACGCTCTCAGAACGCTCCAAGACAGCTCCAAGAGGTCAATTATCTCCAAGAGGCCAATTATCTCCCCTAGGAGGCCCCCCAAGAAGCCAACATCGTTCAAAAACCTAAGGGAAACCAATGAATTTCGGTTTCTCGCCTTTTCGCTTCCGATGGCCATCTGGGGCCTCAACATGGCTCCAAGATAAGCCACGGAGGCCCCAAGAGGGGCCGAAGAGGGCCCAAAGACGGCCCCAAGAGCGCCCAAGAACGCTCCAAGAGCGCCCCCCAAGAGGGGGTCAGGCGGCTATTTTGGGACCTCCCGAGGGGCAGGGTTAATTAGGGACCCCCCCTTCTTTGATCGATCGCTTCGAAGATGGCCCCAAAGGGCGCCCAGGAGGCCCCCGAAGGCGCCAAGATGGCCCCAAAAGGCCTCCAAGAGGCCCCCAAGAGGGCCCCAAGAAGCCCCCAAGAGACTCCAAGAGGCTCCCAGGATGGTTCCACGAGGCATCCAAGAGGCTCCAAGAGGCCGCCATGAAGCTCCAAGAAACCCCCAAGAGGCCCCAAGAGGCTTCCAACAGGCCCCCCAGAGCCCCCCAAGAGGATCCCAAGCGGCCTCAGGAGGCCCCCCCGAAGCACCGAAAACGCCCAAAAGCCCCCATTGACCGGCAAGAAACCCCCAAGACGCCCGAAGAGGCTTCCAAAAGAGGCATCCGAGCGGCATCCAACCATCCACCCAACGTCATCATTCTCCTCATCCCTCCTTCGCTCGGTTCCTCGCCAGCCCCTCATCTATCCATCTGGCCTCCTCTTCCGCCTCATCTTTTGCACGGATCGGTTGTCCCTCTCGTTGCTCCCCCACTTCCCTGATCTCTTCAACTTGCCTGGGCATCGTTTCTGGATGGGCTGGTGGGGATATTTTTTTGATTGGCGGCTCCAAGGAAGAGTCCGAAAAAGCGGGGCGGGCGCGTCTGGGGCACATGGCGAGATAATTGGTTACGAAGGCGCCTAGGCCAACGTAACAGGTGCACCTGCAAGGGGCAAAATGCCCCCCATTAAGCTGCGAGCCACCCGCGAACGGGGAAGCAAGCACCAGACAGGAATAGACGGAGAGGAGTCGCACAGTGGCGCCAGCTCAGACCACAGTGGCGCCAGCTCAGACCATCCAGTCCACAGAGCACAGGCTGGGGCAGGGCGAGTGGCAGGACAGTGGGCGCGCGAGGCCGCACCGCTCACCAATACGAGGCGAGAGAGGTGGGAAAGCGCGGGCAGAAGAGGGGTGGCCAGGTAGCCTCACTCACTTGTAGTGCTCCACGAGCCTCGGTAGGGGGGAACTCGTGCGTGGCCGAATCCACAGGAGGAGGAAAAGGGGGGAGGAGGAGACGCAGCCGATAGCCGCAAAATCAGTTGAATGGATGGAGGAGGAGGAGGAGGAGGAGGCGACGCCACAGCGAGTGCAGCGAGACCCAGGCCGCTGTGAACGCACCGCGCGACGCGGCGGGACCTCGGTCACGGGGGGAACAGGGTGCCTGTAGATGCTGGGGGCGCCGGGTCCCAGCAGCAGGGCCGCAACGTCGGGGGGAAGCGCGCGAGGTGCAACGCGTCGGAGTCAGGTGTGGCGCGCGGGGTGGGCCTATGGCCACCACCCCCAGCCTGCCAAAGTAGGTGCCCCAGGGGGGACAAAGTGGGCGTCCCAGTGGTACACGGGTGGTGGGTTATTTCAGCCGTCACCCGCCTACGAAGGGTGCCACGAGACCAGCGTGGGCTGTCTAGTGCACAGCGCATGGGTATTGGTGCACCTCTACCCCAAGAGAGGTGCACGGGGGTAT